GGTAGTGATTCTGACTACTCTCTGATGTCTCCTGATGGAAGCACAGTTCACCACCCATGAATTATATGTGTTCACCCCCCACTTCCTGTTTGCTCTCTTTAAAATCACACTCACTTTATCTAAGTTTGAGCAAAGTCATCAATCTGAATCACCAATAGAAGGATATCTAGGGCATGGTAAAACTCAGAGGGACACATTCAGCAATATCCAAAATGGAAGAAACTGCAGGAAATACCCTAGTTCTTTAAACAAATAACATTATGAGGAAAATAAGTGAGACAGGAGGAATTTACAGATTAATAGATTAAAATGCTTGAGGCATACCAACCCATGTGATATGTGAAATTATTTGGAGCCCAACTCAAACCAATTGTAGAACAATTTAGGAAAATCTAATATTGAGTGGATTTTGGGTGATGTTCATCTTTAAAGTTCCCTCTCCTCTACTAACCTACATGTTGGGGGTTCAAATCCACCCAGGATCACTAGGGAAGAATGGCCTAGCAATGACTCTATGCAGTAGCTCTACTTTCAAAGACCCAAGGTCATTGTGAGTCAGAAGTGATACAAGGAAATAGATTTGTGTGTATGTAGTATGATGAAATGAGTTCTTGTATGTGGCCTTTTGCCATGAATTTTTGGGGAAAGCTTGAGAAAAAATTTCCCTGAACCCTGAAGAGTTAGCTACTTTTGTCCTATTTTTCCACCTCCGAGAATTTGCTACTTCTGTTCAGTTTGACTGAAATTTCCTGAGTAATCTATAAACAGCTTAGAGTTTGATCTTTTTTTTAAATTTTTTTAATCTAGGCCTGAGCTGCAGTTGGGTCTATGATTTATGCACCTTGCAGGGATTGGTCAATAGGTTTGTCAATGACACACTGCGGAAAAATGTAGACTAGTGTGCACATGATGTATCTGTGGTGGACAGAAAGGGGTAGGTAACATTTTGTGGTCCATGAAAGGGTAATGACTTGAAATTGGTGTAGAGTTTGGTATATATGCAGCACCCCACAAAGGGTTTTTAGAGACAGAAAAAAAAAAACGAAAATCAGTAGGAATAAGCTGATAGGAGAGACAGACACAGATACACCCCGCCACCCCCCTTGAAGACTCAAAAAGACCCAGTAGGGGCTCCACAACATAATCAAAGGAGTAGAGAAGGCCCACATGACAGCTGAGAGAAATGTCTTGCACTGGAGACTCTGCAGCCACCCTTCCTGATCCCAATTTGCACCGCTACTTCCTCAATAAACCACTAACTCTACGTATGGTGAATGTGTGTGGCTACTGCACTGCATTATCAAAACCAGATGAGAGTGTGTTGTGGGAGGGAAAACTTGTCAGAATTGGTAAAAAGTTGTAGTAGAGATCTATCGAACCTCCATCTCATAGGAATCAGCTCTGTGCTGACCTTGATTCACACAATCACTCCAAGTTAGACAGGTTCTGAAAACACTATCACCACGTCTTATTCATATGTGGTGATGCTTCTTATATGACTTGTGTTATTGCCAGATACTGAAATAAGTACTTGTGTATGGCATGTTCTTTCTATCATTCTCTTGTCTATCTATTCATTCTTTAGACCTCAGGTTAAATAGCATTACCTTACTGAGACCCACCCGCATAGATGGCTTCCATACAAAGTTGGGTATATTCCCAAACCTGCACAATACAGTATTTGTTCCCAAAGGACCTTGTACTTGCCCTGTCTTAACGAGTTGTTAGCTGTCATCACATTGGCCTTAACTCATGGTGACCCAATGGACAATGGAATATGATCATTGTGATCCGTAAGGTTTTCATTGGCTGATTTTCATTATTTTGCCTTTCTTCCTGGTATTCCCTATTCTGGAAGTTCTGTGATACCAGTTTAGCATCAGAGCAACACTCAAGTATTCATTGAACCAACACTGCCTCCCTAATAACCTGTATTAAAGAGTACTTTGTCGTGGTAATGATATCTGTTTTTCAGGTAGATGATAAATTCTGGGAGGGCAAGGGCTAGTTCTTGTTCGCTGCTGAATGCTGACTCTCATAGTGCCTGGGAGTCAGTAACAAATTGCTGAATACACAGTGAAATCTGTGAGAATTGGAACAGGACAGGGATATCATGTGTTTCTAAGTCTCATAAATTTTCTGCTTTTGACAGCATGCAGTCCGACCACTTTTCTATTGTTACTAGTAGAAAATACTTGAGTTTTCCTTTCCCATTGGTTTCCACCTTACACAGGTTCTGGCTTTTGCAGGTTAATATAAAAATCTACACTCTCTGGACTGTTTTATATGTACCAAACAAGATTCCTCATCTTCATCTGCAGCACCCTGGTGACGTAGTGGGTAACAAGTTGGGCTAGAGGAGAAAGATAAGGCTGGCTGTTCCCATAAAGATTTAAGTCTAATGACATCTATAAGAATTCCCAATAAAATGGTTTTGGAAAACAATCCAAGATTTAAGACTCAAGAACTCTAGGGAGCCTTTCTCTTCTGTCCAGTAGGGCTGCTCTGAGTCAGAAGTGACTTGGCACTTGGTTTGGTTTTAAGTCTTATGTGAGAATGCACATTACAAAGTGAACCGATACATACCATGAGATTAAATGACAAGGAGTTGGAAAAGCTCTCACTCTAAAATCTATTTGCACTCTGAAATAATTTGTTGCTACATTTACAATTTTAGAGAACACTCTGGAGAGACAATCTGATGAAATGGAAGTATCTGTAACAAAAGACAGCCAGTTCCCATATAATCATTAATAAGGTTTCAGATTTAGGATGATGTCACTTTAACTCTCAAGCCTCAGCTTCCTTATCTGTAAAATAAGTGAACTGGATTCGATCTCAACCTTCCTAATGCTGCGACCCTTTAAAACAATTCCTCATGTTGTGGTGATCCCCCAACCATAAAATTACTTTCGTTGTCTAGACTAATGATAAGAGTAGCGCTATCAGGAGAGGAAGAAGGTGGGAAGAGCAAGAGGGAACCAATTGCAGTGATCTACATATAACCCCCACCCAGGGGGAAGGACAACAGAAAAATGGGTGAAGGGTGACAGTGGTCGGTGTAAGACATGAAAACAAATGTATAAATTATCAAGGGTGCATGAGGAAGGGTGGGGGAGGGGAAATGAACTGATACCGTGGGCTCAAGTAGAAATCATATGTTTTGAGAATGATGAGGGCAAAAAAATGTACAAGTGCGCTTGACACAATGGATGGATGGATGGTGATAACTGTAAGAGTCCCCAATAAAATGATTGGGAAAAAAAATTACTTTCGTTGCTACTTCATAACTGTAATTTTGCTGCTGTTCGGAATTGGGCGATCCCTGTGAAAGGGTCGTTCTATCCTCAAAGGGGTGGAGACCCACAGGTTGAGAACCACTGGATTAGATGGTTATTAAGACCCTTTCCAATGGTTATATGCCTTGATGTTTATAAGACTAAGACATATATAAACTAATGAAATAATTTTGGATTTTATGTCCTGTTATGTAGGGCTTACCATTTTTAAACCTATTTAGGTACAAAAAGTGCACACATACTTCCCAGAACATTAATTTACATATTCAAAAAGTCACTGCAGTCCTTCAAAAGAACACGGACTATCTAACCCCCAATTACAGAAATATGTTCAACTTGTTTAAATACACTTATTGATAATACACTTATTAATTCTTTATCAGTTCCACAGTAATTTGAAGGCAACTTTGTACTCCAGGGTATACCAGTATAAGCTGGAGATATTTATTTATTTAGGCATTATTCAATGCCTAAGTAAAACGTTAATGAATATACAGGTCTTTTTGCGTCATTGGGCTGGTACCTGACATCAAAAACTGGTTAATGCCTACGCATTTCCTAACTCTCCGGCAAGTCAGAGTACACTCCATCCTGAAAGTCCAGTAGTAACAAATTTCACATTTGTCTTATCTGAGCACCGCTATATAAACATTCTATTTAGAAACCTATTTGCAAACCTAAAACTACTTAAAATAGTTGCGTGTCAACAATTTACTGTTATCAGCAGATGCCCAGCTTGTAATCAGTTGCTGGACACTTGGGGAGCGACTAAAGTAGGAACACATTTCTTGGTTCAGAGTAATGACTGAAAGTTTTGGCAACTGCCGCACTCAGTCGGTACAAAGAAATGAAATGTTCAAAGGCACTGGGGGTGTTGTGGAGAGGTGTCCTTGGAAATATAAGAATGTTTCTACCTAAGTCTAATATTCTCCTTAAAAACCAAACATACAAACTCACAGCCTTCCACTGCTGCCTTAGGGGCTTCCTTAAATCCAGGGGCGGGAAGTTGCTAGGGGGACTTTCTCTGCAGCCACAGGTTGACTGACAAAGAATCCCCCCTCCCCCACCCCACCCCCCAGCCCAGCCCCAGTCCCGGGAGTACCCCGCCACCGCGTGCACGGTCCCCTCCGCAGAGTCCCTAGGAACCCCGTAGTCCTGCATCGGCTACGAAAGCAGTTCCCCTGAACCACTATCGCAAGTCACCAGGTGGGCAGAGGATCAGCCAGTGGGGAAGGTTGCGGCGGGCATGCCACGAGTCCAAAATAACTCCTGCCCGGAGTCCCTTGCCTTCCAGCAGAATGTGGCCAGGAGAGTCTGGTGGTGCCACGTGAGTCGGCCCCACGCTGTCCCTCTCTCTTCCAGATTACAAGCATCTCTTGAGAAGCCCATTGAAGACTAGCGGGGCAGCGACTTCCCCAAGGTCAGCAGGCACCGGGACACAACTCCTCGGCCAGGCCGGTGGCCGGCACCTGACCGCGGGCCCCCGGGGCTCGGCTGGGAGAGGCTCCTCAAGGTCCCCTTCACCAGCGCTGCCCTCCGGAGCCGCACCGCGGCAGCCCGCGGCCACAGCGACCTCGCCGGGCCGCCTCCCATCCCCCTGGGTCCTAGGTCTCCGCTTTCCCCTGGGTCCCCCCGACCCCAAGGCAGTGAGGGCACCCCGGGGCGACCGCGCACTGAGCCGGCGGTCGTTACCCAACTAACCGTTATGTGCTCGGCTGACGGCGCTGGGCGTGTGTGTGACGCGGCGGCGCGAGCTGGAATTCCGCGGGGCCCACAGTCGGGGTGGCTCTCCCGGCCGTCGCCTCGTTCGCTCGCTGGGCACCCACGCGGCCGGCCAGTCACGTAGCAGCTCCCCAGTCACTTTGTCTGGCCCGGCCAGCGCGGCTGCCTTATAAC